CTGACATTTTCAATGCGAAAAGGTGCCTAAAACAAGATAACTAGCAAAGAAAAATATTTCTAAACTAAGTGGTGAAGTACAGATTGGCAGTACAAATGTAAATAACAAAAGGTAAGCAAAAAACTGGTGGGCTAACACATCCATCATCCTTAATCCAATTTTTAAAAGGGCCACATAATAGCATATCCATTTGAAATCTCAGAGAATATCAATAACTTTCCAAATGTTCCATCGAAATTTTTCATGCAGGATTACAATGTCTTTAGCAGAACTGAAAGGGGCATGAACAGGAAAAAAAAAAAGAAAACAAAGCGACATAAATCAAAATATTTCAATATGAAGTTCAATTATTTTTCTTAACAAATTCAAGTTCATACTGCACGATTAACTATTCACGGAATTTAAGCTTTAAGCAGCAAACAACTCAACTGCAAATACCATTATTTACATTCATCAGGTAGACATGCTCCCCACTGTAACTGAGCAAAACTTCTTCGCCATTAGGACTGAAAGTAACATGTGTTAGGTGCAAATTTGTTCGCCCCTGAAATAATTTAAGATGTAGCAGACAGTGAGCTTGGGAAACACTTTGACCAAGAAAACAGCAATGCAGAACTAAGAACTAGTAGAGTATCTTAATATCAATCAGGCTAAACTAACACGTTCAGAAAGATGCATGGGACAGAAGTAATTGACACACGGAGGTGGAGGCATCCTTTTCCGACTTGATGCCAACGGTGGGAGCATCCTTCTATCGTATAAACGAGCAAATGCATCACTGCCAAAGATGAAAAAAGAGAGTAGCAAGTTAGTTAAGAAATAAGGAGAGAACTCTGATCCAAAAACATGGAAGCAAATACCTTCCACCAACAAGAAGTAGGTGCGGTCTTGTGGCACTTATATCACAAGACTTCAGGGAGAGAGTTTGCTTTGGAGGATCAGCTAGTGCTCTTTTGGCACCACTGCGCAGATCAAGCTGCAAAATTCAGAGCTATCAACAACTTTCATTTGCAGAAGAAAGTTTTCATAAGAGCCACACCTATAACTATACGTCTACAAAGTATCCAGATAGGGCTCATATGATATTCAAACATCCACAAAAAGACTCTGATTATAGACAAGTATCAAAATACTGTTTTTGAGAAAGTTAAAGCCAAGATGGAAGTACTAGAGAAATACAAACGTAATTGAAAACAATGTAACCACAGTTTGGATATCACCAGAACACTGCGGCATTCTTGGTGAGCGGTTCCAGCAGGAGGACAAGAGGTAGATTCCCGGAAATCATGCTGCCTTAAAGTCCCATCTTCACTAGCACTCCATACAACATTGGGGTTACCAGGTTCGACCTACATGGTGGTAAAAACATCTGTTAAGCAAACAGCTCAAAATGATAGACCCAAATAATGATTAAGAGGGTCTTACAGCTAGTTTTTTCACTCTTCGTGTGTGACATTGGTACAATGCTGATGGAATAATAGCATTGTCATCTTCTGCTCTACCGCTTAACCGGGATGTATTGAATAGCCTAACCTACACGATAGGAAAAATATATGCACACACCTCAAAAGAAAAGTAAAAGTCACCTGAATACCATGCAAAGCCAAATGAATGCAAAACCCAAAAGGTGTAGTTTTATATACCTCAGCATCTCCAGCACCAGATACCACAAGCTCGTCAGAGGTTTCAGGGACAAACTTTGTACAGAAGATGTTGGCAGTATGCCCTGTATCTATAGAATGCAAAAGCTTCCGACTGGAGTAATTCCAAATATTGATCTACAAATTAAAAGAAGATATAAATGTCAAGACAAGGCAACGATACAGCACCAGGCGAGAGAAATTAGATGCTTAAATGGACTTCTTTAACAATCCCATCCAAAATTAGATACAAGTGATACACGTTTGTTCCCAAACCAAACAAGCTCAACTAACTGACACAAAGACTTGAAATCAACAAAAAAAAATTGCATATACCCTTAAATCATCTGATCCAGATATCAAAAGTGAACCGTTAGAGTTCCACGCTAAAGCATTAACACAGCCTTGATGTCCCTGCCACACACAACAAAAACATCTTAAGGAAAGAGCAACAAGCAGAATGAAGATAGTCAAAGATTGAGTAATAACCTCCAATTCTTGCTCCTGAGAAAGTCTCCGAACCAAGGAAGAGTGAAACTGCATTCTTTGATCAACCTCCTACACATACAACAGTCGACAAACATTGCCAGAGAGAGTAAAAATTCAATTGGAAGCAAGAATTGACAAAAGTTGATTCAAGGATTCAACTATAAATTAAACACCTCCATAGATCAAACTCGAGCACTGTAGCTAAAAACCCTAGCAATGAGGGAAAAAAAACGAATTCCAATGGGACGCAGTGGAGAAGAAAGATTGGGGGGAGACGTACATGACTTGGGTCCTGGGACCTTGTGTGGAGGAGATTGAAGATGTTACCATCGTGAAAACTGAGATTATCCATGGAGAAATCGATCAGCACCGATCACAAATTGGAAGAAGAAGCCCTCCTTCTTTTCGCTCTTTGTAATCTGACGCTATTTCTCGTGCCCGGTTCTACATTCTCGGTGAGATCCTCTGCGGCGCATGTGTTGGGTTATCTATGTTCTCTAATTACATCTCAGCCGTTCGTTTTTTTTGTTTTGCTGCGTTGGTAAAATCAAGTAAAAATCCTTATCGGGATAACAATTTAACATATGGTGACTGACTGGTGAACCACCATTTGCTGTCGATAAATCGGTAGCAACTTATTTAATTTCTTCCACATTTAAAAGTTAGATATAAAATTTGTACAAAATTGTTTCTCAATATTCGTAAACATATGTATTTTTTCCCACGTAACAATTTGTAACAAAAATGTCACATATATAAGTTGTCGCCCTTAGTTTTGCTTACAGATTAATTAGGGACAATCGTTAACTTTTTTATTGCTATGTGTATCGAAAGACTCTGTCACTTTTTTCACCATTTTTCTACTACTAGGTCTAGGTTCTTCTACATTCTAGGGCATGAGTTTTATGCGTGTGTGGGCTATCTTTGTGTTCCAAACACATCAGAACCTTTCTTTCTTTTGGCAATTTAATTACCATAGCCTAGACAGCTAGACTCGTTTCGTTCCTGGTTTAATTTCTAAAGAAGTGAATTGGCTTAGTGATACATCTTCGCACTAATGGTATATGTTTATGTGTTTCTTGCGATAGTGATTGTCTGATTGATGAGACAAATTCATGGTTATCACTTAGTACCTACGGAACCAACCAAAAAAAGACTCAATTCTCATAATTATCGACAATGTTCTTTTTGAAGTCATGTGCACGCGCGGCGTTTCTAATTAACAGTGCCGTTTTGTGACGCATCCAAAGATGATTTATTACTGTATAACTGATCTGCGGATACAAAATTTTTAGTAATACTAATTAATGAACAAAAGAAGTTGGTTTATATAATTAACGAGCAACCTAAAGTGACAAGACGAGTTGAATAACGTATGTAATAATAAATCTCTTTGATAATCGAATACTCCAAAACTTGCAATTTCCACTATACCTATTAAGACTAATCTTGACATTAAATGCCTAAATGGGTTACTACGTAACGAGTTTGCAATAAGCTGACACAGAAAGAGTAAATATACGAGATTAAATGAAGGAGATGAAAACAGAAATTAAATGAAACGAGATGAAGAAATGGTAAGTGGCAGGGCTTATGGGTTTGTGTAGTGTATCACAATGTACACAATTGGAGACAAAGACAGACAATACTTTTTTCATAACATGACATTCCAAAAGGTACATAGTGTTCTAGTTTCAGTCCTTTGAACAATTATACAAGAATACAAAATATACATCCATATCCTTTTAACAAATACGTGAGTCATCATATCAATAAAAAACGTCAACAACTATACATGCATACAGATTACAGGACACACATACGCATAGAGGGAGGGAGAATTCTCAATTTGTATAATCTTATTCCAACAACATAGTACATAGATACCAAAGTGAAAAAAATACTCAAATCTTCACATTTTCTAAAATTGATTACCGCAATGAATGAACTAATATTATAACTAGATAAAACGAAGCATTATAAACTAACTACAACCAGTTCTTGAACGTTTTATGTCTATTTTACAAAACTCAGACATCCCTTATTCGATCATTTGACTATTTCAAAATTCCATTATTCAATTATTCATCTAACATATTAGTCAAGAATCAAGACCCAACTAGAATTTAGTGGTAGAATAACTTTCTATGCTACAGACTAATCATTTTCTTCACCACAACAATCGGAGATAAGCTATACTTAGTCATGTGTCAAACCACATAACATAAGTTTCAATCGCTTCCAATTATCTCTAACTCTAGACTCTAAGTGATTATCCCTCTCTGATTGCACACATCTATAAAAGACCTTAGAATCATACATATCCACATAACTTACATAGGAGCTACAATGCCCAAAATTTTGAGCACATCAACTCCAAACTTTTCGCCATTATCTTATTCCATGGATTCAAGTGCAATCTGCATAACTTTGACTCATCTTTTGAAGCTAGGAGTTGGGGCCAATTCATGTGTGCTAGAGTCTGCAAAATAAAAGAGTTTATTTCAATTACATAATATATAATTTACTTATAATACAAACATCCTATTACTAACTAGTCTAACCACGATGGGTCAACAAAATATAACCCAAATGGAGATAGACAATAAATTCGATGAGAGATATAACAAATATCTTATTCATAATAGTCTATGTGTACACCTTCACATACATGTGTAAAGATATTATAAGACAAAATCTAAGATTCATCACTATGAATGTACAAAGTTTTGAAACTACATAAACTGAAATTATATAAAAATATATAGATGCAACATATGTATGCATAGAGAATTTGGTATGCAGAGACAGATAAGAACACAAAATCATAACTAGAACAATGGAATAAGGAAGATTCATGAAGGAGAAGTTATGACAAAAAGAGAGTGAGCACGCAAAAGCAACCATATACAAAACTTTTATACAACTTCCCCTTTGTGTGCTCACTCTCTTCTGTCAACTTCTTTTCCCCCATCAACATATATTTATCTAGTTATGACACTAAATAATATGTTAGAAAAACGAAACAGAAAAAACAAGGATATGTGTATATGTGTAGATAGGAAATTCCAATTAGTCCAGAAACCGATGAAAAAACAAAAGATAAAACATGACACAAGTACAGATCGAAGGTACTTGAGATCAAATCTGGGAAAAAACAGCAACTAACAAAGACTTGATCGATGGATCCATAAAAGGAAAGTATGAATCTAAGTACGGACACTGCAAGTTAGGGTTTCTTCTCTAATTCCCAGTTTTAGAATTTTTCTTTTTTTAAAGAAACAAAGGTTAAGGAGATAAACTCAGAATTGCTGCCGAAAAACAAACTTTTTTTTCCTTAATCACTCACTCACTCTCTCTTTCATGCAAAGCATACATGTGTCGGCTGCTTTACTTCTCTCTCTATATAGCGAAAGTGAGAAGTGATTAAATAGAGAAAACCCTAGAATGAAGAATGAATCCAACAACATTTTACATTTTAGATTAAATGAAAGAAGAAGAAGAAGAAGAAAAAAGGTGAAACAGAGATGATGGAGAGAAGAAAGTACGGATGTCAAAACGCTTGGTTATGGTTTGTCGGAGAGAGAAACGTGTCGCAATCAAAGGCCAGGATTTGACTTGAGAGACGTTATGAGCCGTTGGATGTGTCTTTTTGTTCAGTTCCGTCTCTTTGCCGTCTTATCTGCTTCTGTCCTTTATTTTTATTTCACTCAGTGCGTCATTAGAGACACAAACACACACGCATCATCCTTGTCTATTCTCTTCTCTTATCTTCTTCTCTACTTTAAAACAGGATTAGTGCTGGTTAATTCTTGATTTGTGCCACGGTTTAGTTGTTTGTCTTTCAGAGTCGGCTTTGTTTAAAGCTGCTTTTTCATTAAGTTAACCAATGATTACAAATAGTTAAACGGATGTAGTTAATGCGGTATAAATAATATTTACTGTTGTAGCTTTGAATGGGTGAGTGGCGTGGCAGGGTTTGGTGCCCAATAAATTAATAAACACGTTTTGTTTCCATTCATCCAAAAAATGGGACCGTATATACAGTGGCATGTTCATTTTGGGTAACGAGCCGGGTAATGCGATAAGGGTCGGAAATATATAAAAAGTACTATCGAAACATACACGATAATTTATGAGATGAAACTTTCAGTTCATATATTGGGTGGGTTAGTTTCTATACGTAAAATCATTACCCTCACTCTTATTTTCAAATTTAGAAAATAAGTACTTGTGGAAATTTAAAAAAGATTCAAATTTACTAAATATGCGAGTAGGATTTTATTTTTTCCTATTGTTAATATATTTTTGCGCTATAATAAACGAAATTGTCCTAATTGTAGATAGTAAATTTAGCAAAGACCATTGCAGCAATGTGTGCAACCTTATGTAGAACTATTTAGTGATGCGGTAAGAAGATGACAATAAAAAGAGGTGTCAATAGTTGGTGGTACAAAACACAAACACTAGTGACAGAAAGAGTATTGTACTGCCATCATTTTGAAATTTCAATATTAATTTTTCTAATTAAACTCTTTCAAGTGAAACTAATAACCATGTGTTGCATGAAAATTCTTTTCAACGTCCGTTTTCGTTTCTAAAACGCAGGTATAAACTTTTTTTTTTCCTTTATCCTTTAATTAAACTATTTGATATTTATGTTTCCGATTTGTGTTGTTTCAAAAAAATTCATTAATTTGTAAGTATAATATAATATACATGTTTTCAAAATGTATACATTTTATAATTTTAGAAAAAGTAATTATTTCCCATGTCCGAAATGTAAAGCTTCTACGTATCTGTTTTTGTTTCCCTGCAACATAGGTTGTGCCATCTCTTACCAATCAAAACTAATGGAATCACCATTTTTTTATGTCAAATCACAAATCTGTTTTTTATTAATATAAATTATTAGCAGTAAATTTTCTCATTTCAAAAATTAATAATAGCAGCTGTTAAAAATAAATAAAAATACATTCTACTTTTGTAGAAATAATAGATAATTATTTCCTTATATTTATTTTTCGACATTTTTTCGAACACTAAATAATTTAAACATAACATCCAAAGAAAAGCCATATGGTATTGGCTCTGATGCTTTACCTTGAAGCATTCTACGGTACAGTGCATAACATCCTCTAATTAAGCGCATTTATTGGTACTCTAAATACACATCTAGACTCTAGTCCTGTTCGTTTCCACTATTCTATTTTCATACTGTACTGCATTCTCTTTTCCCGTTTGTAGTTATAAAAAATATAGAGATCGTACACAAGTCTTTTTATTAACAGCTTCGCTGATTTCCCACCCTGACCCCTGAGAATCCATAGTGAATTTAGTGTTTAGGTTCGATTCTGTTTGAATATTATCTGTGAATCAATAGATAGTCGTAAAACACAATTTGCTTGCGAATTCAATGAACACACAATTCATATGAGAACTACCATATAATTCTTTGTCTGCAAACATCAGGGAGAGAGAGAGAGAGAGTTAATTAATGGAAAGCATTCATTCATATTCATAGTTCAAAAGACTTTCCACTGCCCTTTGGCTACATATTTTCGTTAAGCATCATATATAGCCTACGACACTACAACCCTAACTTAAACGAAACAAGAATTCTCTGTGTAAATAAAAATGAACCACACCGTTTAACAATGGCTTCCTAACACTGTAACTGTCTCCTACGGTACCTGCACATAGAAACAGACCGCGACACTATTACTTATTTCTTAATTCTGTTTTTTAAGGGTTTTTTCTTTCTGGCGAGACTACGGCTACGACGACGCTTCTTCCGCTTTCGTATCTTTTCCAGCATTTTCTTCTCCTTCCTCTTCCTCTTCCTCTTCCTCCTTCTTCCCCTTCATTTTTTTCCTCTTCGCATCAATTCCCTCTGGTGACTTCTTCAAGAAGCTCACCAACGGCTCTCCATCAGACATTTCATCAACAGCTTTTTCCCCATCTTCATTGTCACCATTTTCTTCATCAGCGGTATTACTCTTAATCTTTTTTGAGGTGATCTTCGATATTGTTATCTCTTTCTCATCATCAGATGAATTGTTTTCACCATTATCAGAGTTGGAGTTGCTCAATTTCAGGGCCTTGGGCTCAGCCTCATCATCAGATGTTTCATTCTCCTCTTCATCTTCATCTTTATCAGCCTTAGAGTTGTTGGTTTTTAGAACCTTGGGCTCATCTTCATCAGAAGAATTTTCAGCAACTTCATCAGCATTGGAGTTGCAGGATTTTAACACCTTAGGCTTCGCCTCTTCGCTAGAAGTATCAATATCATCACCAGCTTCTTCATCTTCATCTTGGTCATCAGTGTGTTTCCTCTTGGTCAACTTTGAAGACATCTTTGGTTTTTTCGAGGCCTTTGATGTCTCTTTTTGATCCACATTCCCCTTGCTTCGAAACCTTTCACTCATGCGTGATGCCGCTGCTACAATCTTCCCACCAATATCACCCATTTTGCCATTTTTCTCAGTTTCGGGCTTTGAGGCCTTCTTCTCCACCTCTTTGGCCTTGCTGTAAAAACAATTGAGGTAATTAGATTTTCAGAATCAAAGCATCACAATAATACTATAATCTCTATAGCTCCCTCTATGATATGAATTCAACTCCATAGCGTGTGAAGCAGAGACAAGGTAAGCTGACTTTAATGCGTAACTGTGTTGAACTCGCACGTGAGCGTGGAAGTGTGCATATATACGTTTGTTTATTTAAGAATGCATAGTATAACATAACCAACCTCTTTGATGAAGAATCTATCTTCTGTTTCTTTTTGGGCATAGCTTCATCCGTCCTTCCTTTTAAAGATGCCTTCCCTTTCCCTTTAGGCCTGTAGAGAGTTTAGACAACAAAGATCATTCAGAATTACTTACTCCTAAATCTTTAGATTCAGGGACACAATCCACAGCCATGAATATATGTGTATCTGACACACTCATGTTCGTAAATCACGACTGTTAGTGATATTAAAACAATCGGTACTATACGATACAACACACGATCTAAATCATAACCCTAGTTAAGTATAAAGAGAAACTCAAGGTTGCGATGTCTAAAACAGGTAGGAAGATAAGGGCAAACTTACGGTTCTGGAGTGCCTTCAGAACTCTCACCAGCAGATTCCTCCTGTAGGGAGATCTGGAAAAAAAAGAATGCTGAACCATTAAAAGCTAGTGATACACAGGATAAAATCGACAATAAATGATTAAACAAACACTGTCTAATATCTACCTCATCAGATTCAGATTCAGCATCATCTTCTTCAATCAACTCCCATCTCTCCTTCTTCAGATCCAAGGTCTCTTTATCACCATCTTCATAGAAAACCTAATAACAATGAAGAGTAACTCATTAAATGACACATTATCTAAGCAACTTAAATTCCTCTGATAAAGTAAATCATCCACCAAACTCATTCAATTCAGATTAGATATCAATAGATCTTAAAATCCAAGAGATAAACCCTAATTCATTCATTTAATGAATGTGCAATTCAAAATCCAATCTAGATTCAAGCAGACCCATAGAAACAAGTAACAAGATACATGATATGAATTACCCGATGTTTCTTCTTGGAAGAGACATAGGAATCCACCACACCCTTATAGAATCTGCAAAACCAAGAGATCTGTAAGATTGACCACAAGTAACTGATAGTAAAAAAGCCCTAATTTTTTCAATAAGATTGGAACACTCACTTGCTGTCCATCGGCCACCAAACTCGTATCCTTGAACCCACCAAGGCTTCACCATATTTACGAGCATCAGAAACCTAGTAAAGTTCAATACTTTAGAGCAAATTCGCATAGAAAAACAAGTAATTCAAACCAAAGAAGAAGAAGCGATAGTTGCAAAACCTTATCCTTCCCAGAAGAACGAGTTGAAGAAGAAACAAGTCTGTTCTTGGCTGATGAACGCTTCCTAGAACCAACCATCTTCGAAAGCAAT